AGAAAATATTAGCTCTTTGAAGATTTGCTCGTTGGAAATATGGGAAAGATCAAAATTAATGTGATAAATTAAAAGAAATGAAGGGATATCTTCAATGCATTATATGATTAATTCAAATGAAATGATGAAAAGCTTATCAGATCTATTCGAAAAATTTATAGCAATTGTTGAATATTAAAACTTTACCAAAGATGCTATAAATTGAAGTAATTTCAGGTTGTTTGTTTTTGAATACATGAAGAACCAAAATTTTTTAAGGTGTAATTTTTCTTAGCTTAATTAATGATATGTAAATTACCAAATAACGATTTCACAATTACAAATATTTGTAACAATGATTTTGCGCTTTCTCCACACTTTTTTCATCGAATGAATGAATGCAAAAAAAAAAAAAAGAATGCGAACACCGAGAGAGTGTAAACAAACTATCCATTAAGAGTAAAATGAAATAAAATGCTATTCAATAGTAAAATAGAAAAAATCTTTTTAATATTTTTACATTTCAAAAATCTTATTCTTATGAGATCAAATTTGCATTGAAATAGTTATACTTAATGATAGTTTATTTTATAGACTCTTAAAATCTTTATGGCAATTTGACAGCTTTAGTATAATTATCATTTAAATCAGATGATTTCATTTCTACCACAGTTCTTTCCCATAGCTTTTCTCAATTTCATTATAATTTAAACATGAACTAATGAAGATTGGATGTTTGGCACATTACTATGACACTAACATTTTTCTTGTATCATATTGTCAGAGTTATAGTTCTGTGTTAATGTCATTGTGCTAATCTTTTCAACGTGCACTGAGTGACCTTTGATCCAGTTCATTTTAAGAAAAGCCTGTTTCAAATTAAATTTAAATATTTACCACTGAAAGAAACTCAATGCATTCATATTTATTTACAAATATGAAAACTAAAAATGAAAGATCTCGAACGCAAGTCTGAGAGAAGGACAAATGTTTAAAAATAACTGCACCACAATCTATGATTTAAGTTTATAGTCAACGATTCTTTTTGTGTGCTCATTCAATAGATTAAAAAAATTTTGTGATGGAATGAATTGGTCTGATCAAAATAAAGATGAAAGGGATTCACAGCTGGTAAGGCATAAATAAGAATTCAATAACCAACATCCGTTTCGCTTGTAATGAAGTTTGGAACTAATTTAGTTTTGGCAGTTATAGCTTTTAACTTATTAGCACTACGTAATTTACATAATATTGTAATTTCATAATTCTATATTTTCCAAACATACATATATCACCATGCATATATATATATATATATTTATAAACTGAGCTTGGCAATATTTATTTGTTGGGGATTGTTGCTATCGTGCGGCTTTGTTTCCTGATTGTTAAATTAGCGCTTGATACTTGGCTACTTGCCGGCTAGTGCGAACTCAGGGAATTGTGGGATATATAGCAAGAGAAAAATCCTGTAATATTCCATATTCTTGAACCAATAATGCTAATATTTTCAACTGATTTCTGTAAGGCTTACGGTGAATAGTTACTAATCATTCTGGACAAAAGAAAAGAGCCAGTAGGAATAAGAAAAAATTCAATAAAGTAACAAACTTCCTAATATTTTGGTTTAGAAGATTTTTTTAGATGTCTAATTTGAATCCTTTTTTAAAGTAAGTCTAATATGCAACATTAAATTTGGCCGTTTTGTTTGTTTAAATCGTTTATCTTCTGAAAATTTTATTACTGAACAACCCAAGATCATAAATGTTCCTTATTTTGCAGATGTGAATTCGATTTGGAAGAGAAGTTTACAGGAAGGTTGTCATTTCTAATCATTTCTAAGGCACGCATTCCTGAAATGCGATAAAAAGGCTTTGATAATTAACGTTGAAAGGAAAAATTGAAAAATTTTTACGTTGCTACTCGTTTTTCAGACTTTCATCTGCTCTAAAATTAAATTCTGAATTGTACTCATTATTTCAGACAAGTAAATATACATCTATATTCTTTTGTACATCCAACAATGCATCACAGTTGGAAGCTGCTAATTCCATTGACAATGCTGATGCCAAACTTAATTCAATGGGTGTTTGCGAGAAAGCTAACCGAACAGTTGTACGATAAATCACGAGCCTGTTAGTTGTTCTCGTGATATTTTGAATGTTCAAAAATGATTTAAGCGGAATTTAAATTCCCTAAGCTCATATGCGAAATGATATACCATGAATATTGATCCAGTTACACTTTAGGTGACAAACTTAAGTCGGAACTGAAATCGTCAAACTTCGATAATAAATGACTAGTTTTTTTCCTTGGATATATTAAAGCCCATCCGAAAACTGAAAAAATTAAAACTCAACCTCTCATGCTTTTTAATTTGAAATTAAAAAGTCTACTTATAATTATATTTGGTATAAATACCAGACGAAAGAGAAACAGACCGGAAAGTATCTAAAATTACATCAAAATGTCGGAACGAGCATAAAGTTTAAAGTGTTATTTAGCTGGGAAAAATGTTCCAATTTTGTACTAGAATGTAGCATACTCTTTATCATATCAGGGACTCTATAGTTTTTTTTATCTCTTCAACAAACTGTTTTGTAGTCTGCTTACTATCACTGATATGGTGCTGATCATTTCATATGTTACATTTTCTTCGAACACTGCTGCTTCCATATCATTCTTATTTCCATTACTTTTTACTGTTCCAAGTGAAATCATTCTTAATAATATTGTTCGACGCAATTGCTACCTTTGATTTACTAGCTGGTTATAATGTGTACTGTAATACATCAGATCTGTATCGCACGTTATGCCGTGTTTTTATATTCCAAAATTCTTCCCATTCCAATATCATATGCTAACTGGGTTCTATAGAGAAAATCTCTGCTCCACCCTTTAAATTTTTTTTTTTTTTGTTATCACTTTGAGATTAACTTTTATACCAATAAAAAAGTTTTATACCTATAAGGGCAGTTGCAAGATTTACTTCAATCCTTTTTACCTCTAAAAGTATATTTATGATCAATTTTTCATTATATTTTTTAATTTCTTTTTTGTTTCTTCTCTCCATTTCATTTCCCTTTTGGCTAAGTGTTGATTTCGTATTATTGCGAATTTTAAATTACAAAAATGTTGGGGAGTAATAATAGACATCCTATTCTTACAAGGAATTCTTATTGTTTCACTTCCATCCATCCTTTAACCATTCAACATTTTTTTTTTTTGCTTATCTAAAATTTATTTATTAAAAAATGCAAAATTGTGACAGAAATAGATAAATAGGTTTCTTGACTAACCAATCATTCCAATTTATCAGCCTTAGTCTCTTGATGTATCATATCAGTTTTTAAATTTTTTTATGTATTATATAAATAGCATTAGTTGCTGAAATTTTTTTGTAACTCCTTTAGATGAATTTAAACAGATCGATATGTTATTTTGAAATATTACATATCATTGAGATTTCTGCATTGCTGTTTGTAGTACTACCACGTTATGTAAAAGATGATAGGTAATGTTAACTTCAAAGGCTAAGTGCCTCATTTGATAGGCTTCAAAAGTCTCATTATTCATATCTTTCCTCTGGAAGCTGAAATCAGAAATGTATCGGCCAACAAGAATAACATTAATTAACACATTACTTTTGAGAAGAGAAGAAAGAGGATTACTATTAGCGACCCATATTAAACCACTTTTGAGTCTGTCTCGTCTGTTTCTAGGAAAAACCATTATGTTCTCTTTTTGTTTCACATTAATATCAAATTGACCTAAACTTTAATATGAAATGAAAATTTTAAGTTGGGAATATTATCTGGAGTAGGCCAGAAATTGATGAAGCAATAATTTGCGCCGTTTGGAAGAAAAATGCACAAAAAATGATCAATTGTATGAAGCGGGAAATGTATTGCTAAATGAACATTTTATATTTTCGAGTGCGCAAATGGTTTAAATGCAAATTTAATCACATTTCGCTACATCTCATTTATTACTTTTGGTGGTTTACTTCATTTAAAAGCAATATTTTCATCCCATTTATGTATAAATTTAATTGTTATTTCATTAAGGGAATTCTAAATTATTGCGAAAAAAATTGCCTAAAGGAGAAAGGTAAAGTAGAGAAAGAAGAAAAAAGTGAAAGATTCTGGTCTGCTCTATTCGTTTTCCTCACTCACCAGATTACAAGAAATATTTCTAAGTTAACTGTCTTTAAACCGATCTTCTCTGGACAATGATCGTTTTACGGTCCCTCTACGAAACATTGACTTTGTTACTGTTTTTAAATTTTCTAAATGATGTAAATTCGTTATTTGGTAAGAGTTGGCGACGAGGTTGCGATGATAAGGATAATAAGGATACGCCCACTAAATGCGGTTATTTTTTAAAATCTCTCTTTAATTTTATTTTACTCTATCATCAACAATAATGCTTACTCTTTTACTATAGGAGTTAACATTCCGGACGATGAATTTCCAATGTTCTTTCTCAGGAATGCCAAAGAGTGCAGATTTTCTGCCACTTTTAGATGATTTCTAATAGTTATAAGAAATGTAGCTTTATCTTATTATATACTTTTGGTGCACTTTATATCATATTTCTATTTTTACTTTAAAATGTGATTTTGATAAACTTTAACTTTATCGTTTAGATGTGGGATAGTTCTTAGTTGAACTCTTATCTTGCTTAGAACAATAAATTCACTATAAACATTCTCAGGTCTGAACCAATACAAAAATAAACTTCAATTCCAGTACACCTTCTAGGAAACAATATTGCAGCTTTCTCATTCGCCAGTTTCACAATCTATAATTTACCTTTTTTTTCCCAAAAGTTTCAAACAATATCTTTCCAAGATCCTATTTAGCTTAATATTACTTTCTTTCAATTTTCAAAGATTTCCTAGTTTGCTTAAAACAATCTGAAATATTCGGCACTTACAATGTTTACTTGAATCGCTATGGGATACATTTTATGTACACGTGAGCTCGGGAAGTGATGGTGTCAGATGTATATTGGTAATGATGAGATTTTCCGGTTCGTTGTTTGGACAGTATATTGGGATGAAAGTTGAGAATAGTAAAGAGTGGTCAAGTTCATAACCTACTCAAACGATTAATTTTGGAGACAGTTCATTTTCTGCAATTTTTAGTTTGTTCTGGAACAGATAATAGTCGAACGGAACTGCAGGACGAGAACCGAATCAATCAGCTAATTAGACAATATCAGAATTGTACTAGAGTTTACGGGAACCTGGAAATAACCTACATACGACGCGAACATCTTAATGAAACTGATCCGGAGCAATTTTTCAGCTTTTTAAGCCATATTCAACAGGTTGTCCCCTTTATAATTCATATTCATTATAACTGACCAATGATTTTCTTCTTAGAAGAACCATTCCAATATTGCTTTAAAAATCAATACAGCAACTTTCTTCATTAAATACTTTCATGGGATTGTCACCATCATTTACATAAGAACTACTGGAGCGCACTTTACTCAGTACAGTCTGTCCTATCCTAGATATGAATTCGATCTGATTTCATGTACAACATGGCTAGCAACTCTTTATTCATTTTTAACTCCTTTTGAATCGACTGGTCAATTCAGATTTGATTTACTTGAATTAATCAGAATGAAACTTATGCCAAAACATTTGTGATCTATTCATCTAGTCCTATAGAATCAGCATTTCGTTGCAATTAGTTTTTAGATCACTGGTTATCTGTTGATCTATGCGAATGATTTCGATCGAATAACACTACGAAATTTGGAAATTATTTGGGGCGATACGCGACATGATGAGATAGCGGCAATAGATATAAGCTATAACGATAATTTGAAATATGTCAACATGCCCAAATTAAGAAGTAAATGCAAATCACAATTAACTTAATAGATTTGTCACCCTACTCATCATGTTCTTTATGAAAAAGAATAGCACTTCCTCCAACTGTCTCTTTTTGATTTCTCTTTTAAAAATGAAAACAAAAGAAAGACTATTTGCATATTTTACGTCCATCTACTTGTTATGATCTGAAATGCCTTTTTTCTTCAGGCGTTGAGCGAGGTGACATAGTGCTGATGCATAATCCATATTTATGCAATTGGAACACTACCGTATCTTACAACGAAGTATGATTCAAAGTTATTAAATCAATTTTCGAAATACTTTTTTAAAAATGATAAAAAACTCAGTAAGAGTTTTCAGATCCTATTATAAATAAATAAGAAAAATTTAGATTATTGGTAAAGCCAGTGAATTGCGGGTTCAATTTATGAGTAATTTCGAAAAATGTGATCATGCTCAAAGTGGATGTGCAGAAAAATGTGGTAAACATTGCTGGGGACCGGACGCGGATATGTGTCAGATAGGTTTGCTCAATCTGTCCAGTCATTTATAGCATGGTTCAAAATTTATCTTAACCATGGAAAGGGTATCACTTCTTTCTTTCGGGAAAATTCTCATCCTTAAGTTTAGATTCTTTTCTGGAGACAAGTTATGAAACGCTTGAAAATTCGTCGAAAAAGTGAATTTTTTTTTTTGCATTTTAGTGTATCGCGAAATATGTCCAAAAGATTGCCCATCACAAATGTGTTATCAAAGTGACAATAGAACACATTGCTGTGACGAGGCATGCGCAGCGGGTTGTTTTGGTGAAGGCAAAAGTGCTTGCATCGTTCGTCTTACTACAATTTTTTCTTTTTTTAAATATGCTTAGATTTTTGAGCAAATATTTAGTTAGTAAAGTTAACATTGAACTATTTGTGTTGATTTTCTATATTTGAGATAGAATGAAGAATATCATTTGGAGTAAACAAAAAATCTCAGCACTCTAAAAAATTACTTCGCGAATTCTCGTGGATAAAAATTGAATTTAAGAGAACTTTTTGAAAAATGATTCTTAAATATTCAAAAAATTTTTCGCAAAAGGAAAATGTTGAGCTTTTTGATTTATGTTTAATTTCAACGAGAAAGCATAAGGATTTCAAATAGTTTGTAATCCTATCTAGATTTTTTTTATAACTTGTAATTAGCTTTTTAGGCTTTTGGGCTTTTAGGCATGTGCTAAATTAGAGCAAGATTCGAAATGTGTGGACAAATGTAATGGATTGACAGACTATGATCGAACACTGAAATTGACTGTGAACCATTCAAATCCACGATACACCTATGATCGGTATTGTGTGGAGCAGTGCCCAGGTTGCTCCCAAAAAATATCAAAGAATGTTCAATGTAGTAGAACTTGTTTATCAGGAGAATTATACTTTTTGTTTGAAGTATTTCTTACAAACGATTTTTGTTACAATTAATGCAAGATTGGGATAGACAAATAAAACAATTCAATACATTAATTAGTAGTAAAGGAAGATTTAGCAATTAATCACTTCTTTGCTTGTTTCTCAAGATGAAGAATGAGACAGAAAAACTTCTCCCGACGCATTCTCCCAAAGTTTTAAATTACCATAAAAAGACGGAATAAGATTTTCCAAAAAATTGCAGCTGAGACGCTTATTCAAGGGGAATACTGTGTCGTCCACTGTACGGAAGGCTACTGGCATGATCCGGTTAAAAATACTCGAATTTGTGAGAAATGTCCAGATGGGATATGCCCGAAAAGTAAGCTTTTTCGCATTTTTCCTCAAAACAGCGATTTATACGATTTATATATACACAACTTCTTCTTATTAAAAATAAAATTGTGCACATGTTTAATTACTATATAAAGATCTAAGCAGTAATGCAGCACAAATATTGCGAAAAGCATTATTTATATTTACCTTTTGATTTTTCAAAACTTAATTTCACAGATTAAGAATGTAACTTGAAATGACCTTGGAATAGGTCAATTATACTACAGAGACAGAAACAAGTAAAAATAAAACCATTCAACATAGATGTGAAAGGAGAAAAACATATTCGTGCCATACCACAAATTTCGTTATCTTGTAGAAAAAAATGAGAAATTCTCGCTTGTTATGCTGAATACCTAAATCAGGTTTGGTACCAGTGATTACTTAATTTTGGAGTTTTTTTAGTTTGCTATATGAACGAACCAATAGATTCGAGTAATATTGGAAGTTTAGCAAATTGCACGGTTGTCGAAGGTTTCATTCAGATTTTACGCCATCCATTCGATCCTCATCGAAAATTTTTTACCGATGGGTATATTTGGCTATTTCTCTTCCAACTTCTTTTATTTAGCGCCTTGAAAGAATGGAAGAAATGTTCCAACATTTTTGAATGATTGCAAAGAAGCAGAAAGAATTTGATCTCTAACCGAATCAGATTTAGTTTTATTCTTTGAAGTATAATCTATCCATGTTTTAACTACCACTTCTGAAATGTTGTAGTTAAACAAATCAGTTGATTAATGAACTTTCAGTCGAACACCAGTGTATATAACAGGATTAACACTCAAAATGCTGGAAGCCTTGAAAAATGTAAAAATTGTTACTGAATTTGTGGAGATTCAAGCCGGTGAATGCTCTCCTCCATCATTGAGCTTTCTTGGCAATCTGACAACCATTGAAGGGCGAAAACTTTCGTAAGTCATTTTTTCGGAATAACTTTTGGTTAAGTCATTTATCGGACTTCCTAGTACAATTTTACATTCAGTATTGATTTTTGAAGACTTTTGGTGGAATTAAAGGTGTAATGATTGAGAGCTATTTGAAGAACAGAAACTGTTTCAAAGAGTCAACTGATCCACAAAATAATTATTCTTAAAATGACATTTCAGTGACCAACAACATGCACTATTAATTACTAGTAACCAAAATCTGCTCGAGCTCGGGTTACGGTCGTTAAAAAGGATAAGAAATGGACGTGTGTATATTGGAAATAATGAGAAACTTTGTTACGCGGATTCGTTGAAGGAGTACTGGAAAGAGATCATGCAAACGGATACTGCTTCTACTCTAGTAATAGTAAATAGAAATGGTCCGGATTGCGGTAAGATATTTCTACCATCACTCATCATAACAATGATTATATTTATCATAATTATTATTTTACTCTATCTATACTCTCTTGCTATCACAATTTTTTTTTTTCAGCTAATCGTAAACAATTCTGTGATAGCACTTGTGACAAAACTTATGGATGTTGGGGTGCAGGACCCAGTATGTGTGTAAAATGCATTGATTACAATGTGGACGGCAAATGTTCTGCTACCTGTCCTTCACAAGGGTTATTTCTTTCAACATGATAAAGAATGATTGCTAATATGAAATGCTTAAATTGATGAATTGAGACACATCGATATATTTTAAGATATTATATCAAGGATAACGAATGCTATAAATGTCATCCGCAGTGTAGAAGTTGCAATGGACCAACAGCGCGAGATTGCATTGCATGCATGAATGTTCGCATACAGCAGGGAAATGAATGGGAATGTATAGCAGAATGTCCGAAGATTCATTATTTCGATGGGAATATATGCTTGCCATGCAATTCAGCATGTTATGATTTTGGGTTTGCTTTTTTTAATTTACTTATTTTTCCAAATTTTACCTGAGCTGTGGATTTTGAATTATACTGTTATGATGGATTAGGATTGGACAAGGCCTACTCTTATCGTTTTGAGAAGCCTTTCTAGTAAACAGGCAAAAATGTTAAAACTTTATCGTTCCTTCATAAAATTTCAGTTGTACCGGTCCGAGTAATGTGGTAGGTAAAGGTGGTTGCAATAAATGCAAATATGCAAAGCGCACTGATAATGGTCAAGAACTGCTGTGTCTGTATACTGCAGGTAAACCAAAGGATGTGTGTCGTGACAATAACCTAACCCATTACTATGCTGCCGCATCATCCAGCGAAATGCTTGTTGCTGAATTTGTACGTTTAAGTTTTTATTTTGAGAAATAAATGCAAGAGAATTAAGTACAGATGCAGAGGAAAGTGGAAAAAAGTGAGTAAAATGAAGATAAGGAAGTAAGTAGAGCGAAAGTAAGTATAACTAATCAAGCATAGTCAACCTTGTTTATGAAATATTTCAAAAATATACATCATATCATACAAATTTTTCACTTTTCGAACTTTAGGGCATAACTTAAAAGTGGATAAAACAAGGTTATTCCCAAGAGACAAAAGAAATGATATTCCGATGGCGAGAAGCTCTTTTGCTACAGTAACACCTGTAGCTATTCATTTTGTAATTTAATCTCTCTCTTGTGATCGCTTATTTGAAAGAGGTCTGAAAAAGACCTTTTCAAAAATTTCATAAGATTTTTAACAGTTTTCTAGGAATGCGATGAATGCAGTGAAGAGTGTTTGAGTTGTGCTGGTTACGGTACTTCTGTAAAGCGACATAAATGTACATGTGCACATTATCTAACGAAAACGGGTTCAGACAGCGACTATTGCACAATGAAGTGTAAAATGTAATTTCAAACTTGAGAATTTTATTTAAATACCTCATTTTTCTTCCAATTGGTCTCTTATTCCATCTGGAAGATTATTCAAATTCGACAGTTTATAAAGTATCATTCATTTCGATTACAATAATTCAGGGATTCATTTATGGTGCGACCCAAATCAAATAGTACCATCGGTGAATGTGAACGATGTAATGAACTGTGTGATCTTTCAATGGGTTGTGCAGGCCGTAGTTCTACAAACTGTACACGATGTGCCAAAGCTGGCATTTCAATAGGCGATAAGTTGGTTCGTGTTCTTCTTAAAACTTAAAATTTATTTCATCTCTAATTAGCTTTTCAAAATTATTCATCGACATATGAAAATGATGTTGTCTTATCTGTTAAAATCTCTTCAAATCTTGCTTATTTACTTCCACATTAATAGTTCACTAGCTAGAGACTTTATGTTGTTTTATCGGGTTCAGATCTAATTAAAACATATGTTCTTCAGATTTGCTTGGAACGATGCCCAGTTGATCGTCCGTTTATTGCGGATGACAAAATCTGTCATGATACAGATCCAGCAGTATATGCTTTAAAAAGGTTGCAAACTTTGTTTTCTTTCAGATAATAATAACTTATATTTACAAATTACCATGATATCATATGACCATTTTGAATTAATAATAACTTATATTTACAAATTACCATGATATCATATGACCATTTTGAATTATATTATGTATAACAAATCATTGGTTAATGAATTTTTAATTACTGAACAATGCTTAATTGAAAGCAGAAATCAGGTAGTACTCCAAAATGTTCCGGGAAAAATAATGTTTTTCTTGTGAAACATCAGAAAATTCCAAAAGAGGAATTGCAGGAGAATGTACATAATCATAATCGGTGTACTGTGTGCAGCTGTTCTTATCGCCATTATAGCGGTTTGTTTTTATTTATTCATTACCATTGGTAGTTACCTCGGATCTAATCCTACTTTCAGTCAATGGGACTATCTTTGGTTCGAGCAAAATGGCATACTATACTCTTCCTTGACCCCTTTGGACAATTGGTGATTTTCTGCGCAACTCATTTCGTTGCTTTAACCTTTTCTCATATCACCGCTTAGTCTTCGTGATAGATTTTTTTCATTACTTCTGTCCTGAAAATACTTTCTGATGATTCTTTACCTGCTGTATTTTATTTGATTGCATTTTTAAGTCAACTTTAAACGATACATTCATTTTGGCTTTGTTATATTCTGTAAACAAACAATGATCCATTCATATGTGAATTCTTCCTTATATTACCATTATTTTCTCGTAAATTTTCCCATTCCTTTTGTTTCATTTTGGAAAAAAAAAGTTCCAAAATGGAACAAAAGAGATGGTAAAATTGCTATGTCAAATGTTTTAGTTCCAGCAGTTTTCGGTTATATTTCAGGGTATCACAATAAATTGTATAAAGTATAAGAAACGATACCAACAGGAACTTGAAATGAACTTGCCGAGCATTCCGGAATACGAACAAACAGATCCATCCATGAGGCCAAACATGACGCGTCTTTGTATTATTACCAATGAAAATCTTGAAAAAACGGAACAATCCCTTGGACAAGGTGCATTTGGAACTGTTTTCTTGGTATGTTTTAATTGGGCCTGAAAATAATTCTTTTTTCAAATTTACTTACCATTTCAAGTTAGAAATAACTTTAAAATATTGAGTTTTTCCATTGAACTCATAAAAGCGGTTTTGTTTGCTAATGAATTCGCTTGATGTAATGATGCAAAAGTGATGTGTTGTGCCTATCAGTGATATTTCTGCTGATCAGAGGACTGTCTATGTTTGAGCTTACATTTGCGATTGAGTTCACGATATGGCGATCGATATTTCAATGAGTCTTAATGGAAAGATGTAATATTAATTTTTTTTAGGGCTATTGGTGGCCGAAAGGTAAGGATGATGGTGAAAAATTGGCAGTAGCAATTAAGGTAGTTCACGATAGTAGTGGCACAGCACATCAGGAAATGTTGCAAGAGGCGGGTATTATGGCTTGTATGCGACATGAACATTTACTTCGACTGGTTGGTGTATGTCTCAGCGATGGCATGCAAATTGTGACCCCAATGCGACCACTTGGGAGTTTGAAGAACTATCTTAAAAAACATCGACAGAAGCTTAGCGCAAGGGACCTGTTGTTATATTGCTACCAAATTGCTTCGGTATGTTATTTGTGAAAGAAGTGAAAAATGAGAAGTATGAATAATGTCAATAGATATTTCATAGTTTTTTCTTGTCCTTAAACTGTCCATTATTTTATTACTTTCAGGCAATGGAATACCTTTATAAAAACCGCTTAGTACATCGAGATTTAGCTGCACGAAATGTCTTAGTGAAGAGAACCAATCACGTCGAAGTGACTGATTTTGGGCTTGCCAGATTGCTAGAAAAAGGAAAAAGTGAAATTGTCGTTGGAGGAAAGGTCAACTTTTCATCTTTTAAAATCATTGCAAATTTTTGAAAGAATAAGTTAAAAATCAAAAAATAACAATTTTTAGAATCAACGTTGCTGGACTGGTCTTACATCTTGGATTTACCTTCTGAACTTACAAGGATTTTCAGAATGCTTGAATTAAGGAGTCAAAATTTCAACTTCAAGACCAAAAATCCCAAAAATAATATTTTTGATTTCAGGTTGCCGTAAAATGGCTAGCATTGGAAAGTCTTGAAAAACAAATCTACACTCACTACACCGATGTATGGGCTTTCGGTGTTACTTGCTGGGAAGTACTAACATTTGGACAGACACCATTTCAAAGTGTACCACCAGATCGAATACGCCAACATCTGGCAAATGGAAACCGTTTGGAGCAACCAAATAACTGTGCCCAGGAAGTGTATCAAACAATTTTGCAATGTAAGTACTATTTAAAAGTCATTTGCTTTACCACCTAAATCATATTAGCGTAATATGACACTTAGACATATGGCATTCTCTGTGAGGAACAATTATAAAATCCAAAAATAAATCTGTGAAAAAATCTGTGCATACTGTGCATGCTATACAGTATTATACCAAGCATACGGTACCTTCAGATTATGTTACACTGATAACTTATCAACAATTTAATCTCTTTATGACTTGATAACTTAACCTCTTCAATTTTAATTATAAGGGAAATATTTTCCAAAAGGAAAATCGAGCTCCGTTTCTACACAGTCTTAATCCATATATCTTTTCAAGGAATTTTTTAAATGTCATCCATTATATAGTTACCGAAGATTTCTCAAAAGTCTCATTTCGTAAAAGAGAGTCTCAAATTAATTAGAAGAATGCATCGAGTTTTTCATACTTTAAACTTCTGCAATTCAGGTTGGTTACAGAATCCGGAATCGAGACCAAGTTTTGTCATTCTGAAGGAGAAATTCAAGCAGTATTGCAAAGCACCCCATCTTTATGTTTTGGTTCGTATCAGATGCATTCAGGTTTTTCCAAAGTTTTCATGGAAAGGAAATTTCGTTTCTATTTTAATCAATTAGATCCTCGTAAAGTGAAGTGATATATGAAAAATGACTCGAGAAATTCATTTTAGGATCATTATCATAAGCGACATTTGGATTCTGTATTATTTGGAAATCAACATGAGCTCTGCAGTGGACTAATGGATAGCAACGAACTTCCCAATCAGTTTAAATTTTCTGGAGGCACGATTGTTACATCCACTTCAGTTCCGCCGTCACCGACAACGCCTACCTGGATGACATTCCAACAGGTAAGATAAAAATAAATTTTGGTGATTTCAAAACTATCAACCTGATATATTAACTGGTGTAATTCAAATATGGACTAGGCTTAATTAAACTGCATTTAAACCAAACAGATAGAAAGCAGTGCTTTAGGAAGACTTTAGATAGGATTGGATACTGAACTTCTTTGTATTCAAGACAGGAATCACATTTATCGGCGTCGTTCGAACTGCAACACAACGTTCTGGATTTCTAGCCTATATAAGTTTGGGCTTAATTAAGTTAAACAAATTCGAATACTCATTTTTTAGTTTGGCTGTCAAAATGCAGCGCATCGAAAACTACTTAATCTGAATGCAAATGTTCAGAAATTTGTTACTGAATGGAACTGCTCAGAAATTTGTTATCGGATTTTAACATATCGGCAATTTTACCTTTAGCATACTCTTAATGTACGACAGGACAAACGAATAGGAAGCGCTGATTCTGGACGTTATCAAAGTGATCCTGTACATGATGGATGTACAGAATTAAACATGGATGAAGGGAATTATTTAGTGCCAAACAATAAGTTGATCTTGTATACGCCTGTTCTTGTCCGGGAAAATGGTGTAACAGGTAAGCTACCTGCAACACGATTCCTCAATACGCTTTACATGCTGATGAAGACTGCACCACGTCTGCTGCACTCATATCAATCCCTATCCATTTTATCTTATTTATCACATTTAGTGCTATGTAAAGTATAAAAATAAAAATAGGATAACTTTCCTTTCAATATTTTATACTTTATTCCTAACAGAGTTGGTGAAAAGTTCGGAATATTATAACGATAAAGTGGGTAGCGACTATTACAATCAGTTGAAATCTGTATCAATGGAAATGGAAGAAGAGACAAAGTCGATCAAAATAACAACCTATCAAAATGATTATTATTTTGCTGAAAATGAAACATCTTTGTGAGATTGCTTCATGAAAAACATTATGGTATTGCAATTGGCATCCATTTTAAGTTCTTTATGTTAGGAAGGGTACCGTAAAGGCAGAATAATAGGTTAATTTTAGAGGTCCATGAATATGGGGTCTTGAAAAAGCAGGATTGTAAACACAATACATTTGAATGATCTTTGAAGAAATTATTTTATTTTATTCTTTATTTGACTGGGAAAATTTTTTTGCGAATTCAAGATGGAATAAACGTCGCAAAATTCAAAAAATAGTATGTTGTTTCTTGTTTATCAAGTTTTTTCTTTTCTTTAAATGAAAGAGCTCTTAAACTCTTCCAGCTTGAAAAAATATTTGACAATCTCAATTCTTTCCCTAAGATTCATTGTAAGTCTCTTTAAAGCTTCTACAAAATTTCAACAATTGTTCCAAAGTTTTCGGTTCCGTTCATATTTGGTAAGATTCATTTGTGCACTTCATGTAATGATCTTTAATTGTTCTATCCTTCAGATAAGTGGTCCGGAATTGCATATTTTTTGATTGTATAATAAAATTGTAATTGCCCTTTGGCAATATACAACT